AGATGATGGACATAGGGATTACCTGGCCCTGTAAAACACCTTGACTAAAAATGCTCAGACCACAATTAGTAATAAATTCTTTTGACTTGAGGAAAACCAAGTGGTTCTTCTCTGAACTGCTACTAAATTCATAGACCTAAAAATGTTTTTTTTTTTTTAACTTTCTGGAGTTTATAGTCCATAAGTGACCTTCACATGTTATAGCAAATTTCCTTTTAACTCACTCCTTCTATTCATTTAATAGTCGGCATACTCTTGTGGCCCCAACATTAATTAACAATTCCTTTCAAAGACTAGGACATCTGAGAAAATGGTTGCTTTAGAAAAGTCCAATTCTAAATAGTCTCATCTCAAATAAGAAGAGTGTAAAATGATGAAAATCTATATCAGATATTTTTCTGTCTGGTTTCAGTTCACTTTAAAAAGAGATGAATATTTTAGTATCTGAAATTTAATCTCAGTCCCTAGCCACATGTCTTTAAAAGCAGAGAAGGAGAGGAAAGAGAATTTAGAAAATAGATGTTTATGGTACTAGGACCAGAAAGCCCTGAGATGATTTCAGTTAAGACATAGACTAGCAGAATTTAGGGAAACGTTATTGGCCACATGAACCCCTCTCACAAAAATCAGATAAAATCCAGAATTAGACCTGACTCAGGGAGGGAAGATTTGTACACATTTTATAAATTCTAAACTATTAACAACTTTGCTAGTCTCTTTCATGAATTTTCTTCCTCTCCCAACAAAACATTGCAATCAACTCCCTCTCTCCTGATACCTTCTGCCATTTATCCTGAGAGGTCTTAGTAGTTTTGCATATTCTGAGCAGATCATTAACAGATTCTTTGGAAAAGTATGCCAACTCTAAAAAATAATTAATTATATATTTTAGTTAGTTCATTATGCTATATTCCATATAGGGGAAAATCGACATTTTTTGGTGTGTTCCTTATGCATGCCGTTATTGTTATGTTGTTAGGTGCCCTCAAGTCAGTTCTGATACATAGCGATGTGTCATGGATTGAATTGTGTCCCCCAAAAATACATGTATCAATTTGGCTAGGCCATGATTCCCAGTATTGTGTGATTGTCCATCATTTTGTCATCTGATGTGATTTTCCTATGTGTTGTAAATCTTATCTGTATGATGTTAATGAGATGGGATTAATGGCAGTTATGTTAATGAGGCAGAACTCAATCTACAAGATTAGATTGTGTCTTAAGCCAATCTCTTTTGAGATATAAAACAGAGAAGTGAGCAGAGAGAAATGGGGATCTCATACCACCAAGAAAGCAGCACCAGGAGCAGAGTACCTCCTTTAGACCTGGGGTCCCTGCACAGAGAAGCTCCTGGACCAGAGGAAGACTGATGACAAGGACTTTCTTCTAGAGCTGACAGAGAGACAACGTCTTCCCCTGGAGCTGACACACTGAATATGCATTTCTAGCTTCCTAGACTGTGAGAGAATAAATTTCTCTTTGTTAAAGCTATCCACTTGTGGTATTTCTGTTATAGTAGCACTAGATGACTAAGACACAACCCTATGTACAACAGAATGAAACACTGCTTGCTCCTGTACCATCCTCACAATTGTTGCTATGCTTGAGCCCATCATTACAAAGGGCTCTAATAAACAAGTCCAATGTCTGAAAGCAGGATTATTTAACAGAGCTCAGACTTTTTTTTTTTTTTTTAATTCAGTAGAGAGAAAGGCCATTATGCAGATGTATAATCATCCAAAGACATTCTGCCCTTAGGTGGTCCCAAGCAGTGGTCGAGAGACAGAGTAAAAAAATTTTCGGTTCTTTTCCAGTTTCCTGCTAAATCTATCTTAACATTAGATCAATAATATCAGGTTCCACAGTTTAAATAACTGGAGTAAGAACTTATGGATTTGCAGACTCGTTTTTCTGACCCAAAAAATCATACAGCTGTGTCAAGAAAGTCAGATTAATGCTGATTCTATTCTTCAACGGTATCAACCCAAAATGACTGGGTAACTGTTTAGATACAAATGAGCTGCAACTATTTCCTATAATTAATTTGGATGTTTTTCTCATAAAATTGGTAGATAGCATGAATTAACCAGTTATTCAATGGTCTCAAAAAAAAGAAAAGTGATCCCAATAGTACCAAAGAGTCTCTGTTCCACAGTCACACAGCAGGAGTTGATTTTGCCCAAAAGTAACTGTGTTGGTGTCATCTCTTTGAGGAAACCTAGGAAATTTATTTATTTAATCATTTTATAGATATTTATAGAAAGTTTTCTAAGTGAAAGCATTATGCTAATTCACAATAACCTTTGTTAAAGTGAACTTCTCAGAGAAACTGATGTCAAGCCCACGATAAATTTCTATTTGAAATTTGCTGCCCAGGAAGAGGCTTCTGAGTGAGCCACTCTGAAGATTTCTCTTCTGATAAAAGGAAAAAACGCCTAGTATTAAGCATAAAGCTGGTCACAAGACTCAAATTTCATCTTGATGGATAATGAACTTCCCAGAAGTGGCTGTAAATTACATCATGCAGTAAAGTGCTCTCCTAAACCAGGTTTGGGATAATTTTCTTTCTCACTTCAAGGATACTTTCCCTTAAGAGTGAAGCAATTCTAATGTAACTGCCTATTCTGAAAACGAATACTGTCAAGAAAAGAACAAACCTACCAGATACTATTTTCTTCGATATTACCAGAAGAAAGAAAAAAAGAGAAACTATTGAATACATATATCATTCCCCAGGCTCTGGTAAATTGGGGAAAGATGTTGACAACCAGAGATCTCATTTACTTCCAGTGTGAGTGAAAAAATAGTACAATGATTATGGAAAACAGTTTAGCTTAATCTACTAAAGTTGAAGATACAAGTATTCTATGATCCAGCCTACAGAAATGCATGTACTTGTGGACTAGGAGAAATAAACTGTATTCGTAGTAGCATTACTGCTAGCAGCCCAAATGGGAATAATCAAAATATTCATCTATAGTAGGCTAGATAAATAAGTAGTGGTTTATTCATACAATGTAATACTATGGAGCAATAAAAATGTATAAACTATAGCTACATGTAACAAACTTAATGTTCAAAAAAAGAAACCATCTACAAAATACTACATATCATATGGTTCCATTCATATAAATTACCAAAACAGGTGAAACTAAATATTATTGTTTAGAGATGCTTACTGTGGTGTGATGGATCGCTTTTGTGTGGACTTTCTCATCCTGGTCTTGTAACTCCCACCCAAGTGGCCTACCAAGGGGATTGGTCAATTTTGCCTTCCCACTGGGCTTCAAATGAGCCATCTCAGAGGTGGGAAGGAGATGATTTCACAACCACCAAGGACGAAGGGCCAAGAGCGGAGTGCGTCCTTTGGACCCAGGATCCCTGTGCTTAGAAGATCCTGGAACCAGGAGACTGAGGGGGGTGGGAGAGGGAGAGAGAGAGGGAGAGAGAGCGAGTTGCAACACAGAAGATGGTGAGAAGTGGTGGCAGAGAAATGGCAACAGGAGGGACTGGCAGGAGATGATGTGGTGGACTTCCCGGCCCACAGAGCTAGAGCTGAGTGTCTTCGGACAAAAGGCTTACTTACAGAGTAGGGTGCCTCTAGGGACTTGGTGGAGCTAGGCTTGCCTAACCACAGAGATAGTACTGAGCGCTTTCAGGCCAAGGCTTACAGGTGGAGTGGGGTGCCTCTGTGCACTTATTGGTAGAGCTAAAAGAGTTTTGTAACACTTGCCTAAGCAGGGGCTGAGGCCAAGGGCCAGAGAGAGGAATGCCTGTGAGCACAGCTAAGAAGAGGCTGTCCTGATGGAAGATCTGTATCCTGAGTGTTCCTCAATCTGAATTGTGAACTGTTACCTAATAAATCCCATAATCATGAGTATTGTCTGTGAGTTCTGTGTGGTCATTGCAATGAATTATCAAACCCAGCGGAGAAGTAGAGAGTGTCGTGAGAGGGATGGTTGGTGTCAGAACTGGTAAGGATGGCAGAGAGAGGAGGCATGTCTGAACTCTGCCTCATAGGAATCAGCCTTGGACTGTTGATCTCGATTCTCCTTCCCCCTGTGAAGTTAGAGGAGGTCAGACACTGCCTCCTACACCATTTTTACACATGCTTAGGTTGTTAAATTATAAATAAAGGCAAGGAAGTGACTACTATAATGGAAAGGAGAGAGTTACAATTGGAGGGTCAAGGAGGCAGAAGATAATTGTTGGGATGGACAATGAAGGGAGCTTCTAGTGCAGATAGTGTTCTATTTCTTGACCACGGTGGTAGTTACAATGAACTTTTCTGATAATGATTTATTAAGTAGTATATTTATATAATATGTATGTTTTCATACATTTCACAATAAGAAAACTTCTCTGTCTACCAACAATATTCAGTAATTTCTGGTGTTATCAGACCAATAACTAACCCAGGACAGTACAGCCATGTGTCATTTATCATCCACAATGTGTTTTGTGAAATAGGACATTATGTAATTTGAACATTGTGTGAACACAAGATTGGATGCTGCTGCCTATGAGTCAAAGCATATACTATTAAACGGTAGATTTTTTTGTTTGTAAGCAGGGAAAGTTCACATTAAAATAAAGACAGAAACTACAGTACAGTACATACATAAGCCAGTAACATAGGCATTTATTATGACTATCAATTTATAGGTATTATAGATTATATATGTAGCATATCATTATATGCCTGGCAGTAGATACACTTGTTGCATGTGGGGAGTTGTTGCATTTACTACATCTGGCTATGTCTACTACATCCTGTTCTCCAGTCTGGATTTCTGAACTCTATTATAACCTTATGGGACCATGGATGTATTTGCAGTTCGACATTTCCCAAATGGACGTTATGTGGCACAAGACTGTATTTCAAGATGAGACATAGCTAATTATTGAAAGTAAGTGTATATTGCATTCCCTAGGATGGCTTAGATATATACTTGGGTCTCCATCTGTCTACACTGTCATTCAGTATTTGCTGGTTTTTTTCAGCTAACTCACAAATGAAAATCTTTAACACCCCCAACAACTCCAACACCATCACTGGCTTCATCCTCTTGGGCTTCCCTTGTACCAGGGAGGGTCAGATCCTCTTCTTTGTGCTCTTCTCTATTGTCTACCTCCTAACCCTCATGGGGAATGGTTCTATCATCTGTGCTGTGTGCTGGGATCAGAGACTCCACACCCTCATGTACATCCTACCAGCCAACTTCTCCTTCCTGGAGATCTGGTATGTCACCGCCACTGTCCCCAACATGTTGGCCGATTTCCTCTCTGAGACCAAAGTCATCTCCTTCTCTGGGTGCTTTCTCCAATTCTACTTTTTCTTCTCCCTTGGTTCTACAGAATGCTTTTTCTTGGCAGTTATGGCATTTGATCGATACTTTGCCATCTGCCAGCCATTGCATTACCCCACTGTTATGACTGGACGTCTCTGCACCAGTGTTGTGGTCAGCTGCTGGGTACTTGGTTTCCTCTGGTTCCTGATTCCTATTATCATCATCTCCCAGATGTCCTTCTGTGGATCTGGGATCATTGACCACTTCTTGTGTGACCCAGGTCCTCTATTAGCCCTCACTTGTACCAGAGCCCCTGCAATAGAGTTGACTAGCTCTACCTTAAGTTCTCTACTTTTATTTATTCCCTTTCTCTTCATTATGGGATCCTACATGCTGGTCCTGAGAGCTGTGTTGAGAGTCCCTTCAGCAGCTGGACAAAAAAAAGCCTTCTCCACCTGTGGATCTCATCTGGTTGTGGTTTCACTTTTCTATGGCTCAGTGATGGTCATGTATGTGAGCCCAACATCTGAGCCTGAAGCTGGAATGCAGAAGATTGTGACCCTGTTTTACTCTGTTGTGACTCCACTCATTAACCCTGTGATATACCGTCTGAGGAACAAAGATGTGAAACATGCAATGAAGAAATTACTGTGAAAAAAAAATGAGAGTCTTAGTTAAAAGGATATTGGGGGAGAATTTGTTGTTAACTTTCCTTGGTCAAAAAGAAAATTTACTGGTATCACTCAGAAAATTATTTATATTGTTTTTGAATGTTATTCACCATGGTGTTTTTTATATTTCCTAGAATTTATAAGGCTACAAGAGATCTCAGAGATGTACTGCAACTCCCTGATTTTTCAAATGATAGAGATATAGATTGAAAAATTTGGTGAGTTATACAAGGTCATAACTTTAGGGCAAAATCAAAGTTTTCTATTACAAACTTTTTTGTCTTGGCTCAACAACAAATGGTGTTTACTTTTCTGATTAAGCTTATATTTCTGTCCTCCAGAACATCTTTCATGTTTACATCAATTAACATAAACAAAAGGTTAATTTATTTGATAAACAGAACTATCTTGAGATCAATAAATACCATAGACACTATAGAAAAATACCAACTATATGAAAAAGTAAACAGCAAAGGTTTTTAAACATATGAAAAGACATTCTATTAGACAAATACAAATAATACTAATAAATATACCTCTCTTTTTCCTTTCAAGTTGAAAAAGCTAAAAAATGATGCTGGGAAAAAAAATGGTACTCCTATTCATTGCTAGTAGAGAATAAATTGGTACAATCTCCACGAAGGACATTTTTCCAGTAACCATAAAAATTTAAAGCCTAGAAATTCCACTACTAGATATTTATTTTACTGATATATTGACACATTAGAAAAACGGCGTATGTATGAGAATATTTCCTATGGCCTGTTTCTAATATCAAAAGATTCCAAGAAAACCCAAACCCATTGCCTCGAGTCGATTCCGACTCGCAGTGACCTTGTGGGATAGAGTAGAACTGCCCCATAGGGTTTCCAAGGAGCTCTTGGTGGATTCGAACTGTTGATCTTTTGGTGAGCAGCCGAACGCTTAACCACTACGCCACCAGGGTTTCCATCAAAAGATTAGAACAATTTAAATTCCTGTTAATTAAAGACTGATTAAATTATTGCATTCCATTGAATGGAATACTATATAGCTTTTAAAAACGAGGAGGCTAAACATGCCTATTGGGGCCCTGGTGGCGAAGTGGTTAAGTGTTTGGCTGCTAACCAAAAGTTGGCAGTTCGAATCCACCAGCTGCTCCTTGGAAACCCTATGGAGCAGCTCTACTCTGTCCTGCAGGGTTGCTATGAGTCTGAATCGACTCAACTACAACGGTTTTTTTTTTTTTTTTTTTTTTTTAATACATGCCTATTATTATGAAACTATCCTCAACGGGGAGTCCTGGTGGTGCAGTGGTTAAGAGCTATGGCTGCTAACCAAAAAGTCAACACAGTTTGAATCTACCAACTGTTCCTTGGAAACCCTTTGGGGCAGTTCCACTCTGTCCTATAGGGTCACTATGCGTGGGAATCATTGCGACGGCAGTGCGTTCTTTTTGGTATTCTCAATGCGTATTGTTTTTTGAAAAGCAAGATGGAGAAGAGCCATTTCTTTAGCTTTCATGTGAAGAAAACGCATATAGATATGTATATATTTATGTTTATAAATACATGGTATATTTCTTGAAGAAAGAAGAAACGGGTAACAGTGAGTCTTCTAGAAAAGAGAATTGGGTATCTGGGAGCAAGG